GAAGGAAGGAAGGAAGGAAGGAAGGAAGGAAGGAAGGAAGGAAGGAAGGAAGGAAGGAAGGAAGGAAGGAATAATAATAATAATAATAATAATAATAATAATAATAATAATAATAATAATAGAACTTGGCTTGGCTTAGTTCTTTTTTCCCCCCTCAAATTTAGGTTCTAACCTGGTGTCCTCCAGATCTTTCAGGTAGCTCCAAGATGGTAGCAGTTCTGCCAGAGTGATGTGATGTGAAGTCATTCTGCTTTAGGGAGAAGTTTGGCTCAACCGAACCAATGCTCTTGTCTTGGCTGCTTGAAACATCTCTCTTTTCCCCTGGCAGGGACTTTTGACACTTTTGTCAATACTTTGTCTGCCAGGACGGCTGTGGGGCATGACCGACAAGGACAGCTCGTGTTGTTTCACACCGATGGGCAGACGGGCGTCAGAGGGTACGTCCCCTTAGCTTTGTGAAGCTTTCTTGCAAGGAGATTGGAGATCTTTTTGGAGGAAAGTGTCTCCCACGTTGCAGATATTGAACCAAATAAAAAAAATGTCGATACTGTGACTGGGTTGGGGCACCACACTAAGCCAAGATGTGGTTTGTTGATTAAACTGCAGTAGGCTGGGTTCAGGCATCACACAAAGCCACAAATCATGGTTTAGCAATCAGAGTGGCAGGGTTCGCATAGCAGGCTAAGTCAAAACAAATGAAATCACATGATGGCCTAGCATGGTGTGTAAATCCATATGTGTAGGCCCCTAAATTGGGAATCTGAGAAATGTCTAAACTCAGGCTGATTATTAATAGTTAATTTAGGCGTTGTGAATGCAAGAATTGGAAAAGGTAGATTGGGATCCACTTATAAAAGTCCAAATGTTTTGTAGAAATCTGCAAACATGCAAAACTTTCAGTTTATTAGGTATTTCTTCAAACAGGGACTGGAGAGCCATTTGTCTGAAATGCTTTAGAAGATCCTGCACCAAATAGGAGATGGGACTGGAGGGTTTCTTAAGAATCAACTCTATGATTCTTAGATTTCTATCTCACTTTTTTTCTGGGACCTCAAGACAGCACACAATGGTGGACTAAGAGAGAATAATTGGCCCCAAGTCAGCATGCTCTGAGATTGTGTGTGGACCTGCATCAGAGCCTCCTTGATCCAATTCTTAGCACCACGTGGCAGCAATGTAGCATCTATTAGATGTTCTGTACGCAAAAGGAATTGTGGTTTGAAATGTCCTTGGCCCCAAAATATTCTATTCTCATCTTACCAGTAATACAGATACTATTCTGCCCTTTGTGGAATCATTTCAACCTCGAAACGAGTGATTAGAAACAAGAACATTTCTGGTACGGGCAGAATAGCCCATCCTCACTTGATTCAAAATGGGGCACTTCAGAGTCCAGATGCTTCAGCCTTAAAGCATTTTGCAGGCCTCTAGTGTGTTGTTTCTAAACTAGGTCTCTGAAATGAATAAAATTGGGTACGTGTAAGTCTGTTGACTTTGGACATCAATTGAAGTGCACCAGAAAGGCTCTCTTTAGATATCCACTAACTAAAATTGTACAGTCCTGGACTTGGTCCAGACCTTGTACCTAGCAAGGAGTAGATGCACTAAAGTAGACTTCCAAGCATCTTACAATGGGCAGTACAACAAGACATGGTTGATGGTTGCATCTGAGCAAATGCAATGGTGATCTAGACCAGGGATCTTATATAGCTGCTTCTTCACCGGGTTGAGGATAGGACATTGAACCTAACCTTCAGTTTGAGTGGGAAACTATCTTAAAAAGGTGGCTTGGAATCATAAAGCAGTAAAATTTCCTTTAGCCTAATCTGGAACTTTGGATCTGTTTATTAGTAAGTCAAGGTCAGGGACGCAGTGTTTAGCTTCAGAGATAGCTTTCTCCAGACCATCATTATTAGTACTTGAACTGAGTGGCCACCGATGGAAAAATCATTTGCTATGGGTTTTTTTCCATGAGCAATTAAAGTTATCCATAAGAACAAGTTAAGACTAACTAGCACTAAACTGGTAGTTTTCTAATGTCACCCATTGCCTTAATTCTTATCATGTTATTTTGGATTTACGCGTATGCCTCATCTGATTCTAGGTGTTTCTGATTTATTTTCCTTGTTTTCTGTGACCATAAATAAATAAATAAATAGTGATATACATATGAACTTGTGTATGTATGTTTTTGGTTGTGGGTGGGCAGGGAGCTAGGAGATTCTCTACAAAAATCCCAGCACAGCAGTCTTGACGCTGAAGACAGATTCGTAGCTCTTCCTTAATTCTTTCAGGTTTGCCTTGTAGCTTTCCTTCCCTCTCGTCATCCTCAAAGCCTACAAAAATAGTCATCGGGATCCCGATAGCTTTGAACGCTTAAAGGAGCACTTTATTTCTGGATTAGGCACCCTGTGAATGAGAATAGGATCAAGTTTAGGAAAGCAGGAGTTTTGAGTGTAGGCTAACAGCACTCCCATCCGTAGAAAGACCTAAATCATTTCTTATTTGTGGTGGTATAACCAAGAGCTGTTTTTTTTTCCCGGTCACGTTCTTGTAACCATCTCTATTTCTTGCAACCACAGCCTGAACCTCTGGGAAATGGCAGATTTCCTGAAGCAGCGTGGCGTGGTGAATGCAATCAACCTGGACGGTGGAGGATCAGCTACTTTAGTCTTAAACGGAACACTTGTTAACTACCCCTCGGATCACTGGTGAGCACTCTCTGCTATCATTTTTCTGGAGTAGCCAGGTTCTTGGGTGTTTGGGTTGATTGCACCAGTTTCTGCCAACACTGGAGAAAGTTGATTCAGCTTAACTAGAAGAATCTTTGACTAGTCAGCAGTAATGGAACTCACCATGACTGGAGAACTTAGAAGTACAGGTAGTCCTCACTTAACAATCATTCATTTAGCGACCGTTCAGAGTTACAGCAGTGCTGAACAAAGGGACTTACAACCAGTCCTCGCACTTAAAACCGTCCCAGCAACCCTGTGGTCATGTAATCACGATCCAGGCGCTTGGCAACCAGCTTGCAATTACAACAGTTGCAGCATCCCGGGGTCACATGATCACCATTTGTGACCTTCCCAGCTGGCTTCTGGCAAGCAAAATCAATGGAGAACCACGTGATTCACTTAATGACCATGATGATTCGCTTAATGACTGCTGCAAAAAGGTTGTAAAATCGGGTGCAACTCGCTTAACAACTGCCCCACATAACTACGAATTTTCCAGTCCCTACTGTGGTTGTTAAGTGAGGACTACCTGTACCATCATTAGAGCTTCTTGCCACCAAAGTTGGGTTTGGTGCTTCTGCTCTTTCTTGGAATGGATGATGGTAAACTTCACTGGGTTGTAAATATGGGAATATTACCTGCCTGCCTGCCTGCCTACCTACCTCCTGGCTACTAGGAAATAGGAAACAATTCAGTATGGTTGCAGTTTGTAGATAGCCCTTCAAGTTAGGTCAGGTGAAGAAACAGACACCGCAAGGATTACAGGAGCAGTTCTTATTTCCCCATCTACTCTTTTATTTGCTGGCTGGATTCCTACATCACGCTACGTTATCATGGAGTTTAGTTTCCAATTTTGCCTGCTATGCAAACCCTGTGGCTTGTAAAACATGATTTATGCTTTTGTGCAACAAATCTTGGTTCAAACATCCCGAGGCTCAGTGCAGGTCTGCACACTTTTTCTCTGTCCAAGAGCCACAGTTAGCTTTGCACTTCGTGTTAATGGCCGCCCTCTAATGGTGGGCGGCCCAAGGACACCGTTCAGTTAGGAATTGTCCATTTTGCCCTGAGCCCCCTTCCCTACAGGCTCCAAAAATACAAAAACAAAGGAAAAAACCCTCTGACATTTCCCCTCCCAGGACGCTCTGTGGTTGCTCGTGGCCCCGAGCTTGTACTTTGCGCACCCTCTTTATGACGTTGCGTGTTCAATTGTGGCTTTGTAATATTTCTCCCCAGTTCCTGGGGATTTTATATTTTTTTGTATATGTTTCATTATTTTTAATATGGTTAGCCATTTAGAGTCACGTACGTGAGGTGGGCGGCCATATAAATTAAATAAAAAAATAACACACGAAGGAGACCGCAGGCCGAGCTCAGAGACAAGGCGGTGTGTCTGTGTCTTCAATTCCATCAGCCTTCCTCTCTTCTTTCTTCCCAGCGCTTTTGACTCTACCTGGCGCTGCCCTCGGAGCATTTCGACCGTTTTGTGCATCCATGAGCCTGCCTGCCAACCTCAAAACTGCAGCGGGCATGGGCGCTGCGTGCTTGGGCAATGCCACTGCAGTGGAGCCTTCTGGAGTGGGCCAGCCTGTGATGTCCTGGATTGTGGTCCTTCCAACTGCACTCTTCATGGCATGTGCACTGAGAGTAAGGCCCCGCCTTTGGAAGGATGTGGGGGCAAGTGGTTCTCCCTTGGGGCCTAAGTGGAGAGCCCCAGGTATAACGGGGCACATTGCTCATTTGCAAATTGGCCCCCTTGATTTGGAGGCTGGGCGCAGAACCCAGAGCTCTGAAAACTGATGCTGCGGACAGTGGGGAGCGGCCTTCAGGATCAAAGAATGGAGCCCTGGAAAGCCCTGTGTGAACAGCCGCTGCGTGGGTTGGATGGAGGAAGAGGCGGGCAGTCTGTATTGTGTGGGCCTCCTGGCAGGCTCTTCCCTCCCTGTCCCTGCTTTTTCCAAGGGGAAAGTCGGAAGTGGAACGAGGAGTATAGGCTTATGGTCGCCCTCTTCTGATGGCCTTCTGCATCCACTCTTTCTGAAGCACAGCCCCATGGAGCACCTTGGAGGCTCCACTGCTTCTCCCTATTCACAGCCTTCCCAGAAGGCCCTCTTGGTAAACAGCCTTGTTGAAAGCCGCTCCTTGGCCCGGCCTGCTGCCTTCTGGAAATCCATCCTGCCCTCTACTCTCCTCCTTCCCCTGCATCAGGTTCACGTTCTAATCCTGCCCCAAATCCTTTCCTGTTCTCTGATCTTACTACTTAAGTTCATAGAGTCTTCTTTGTCCCTGTCTTCATTTCAGTGGGATGCCTCTGTGATGCTGGTTGGACAGGTGTGAACTGCACCCAAGGTAACCATCTTTCTCACTTAGCAACCTTGGTGTTGATTTGTTTTGCTAGATTGATATCCCCTCCTTTGCTCAAGGCAACAGGCATGGAATAAATGAATTCCATGGCACAGCAGGGAAGGAGATTGGAAAGAAAACTGCCAACGTTGTGATGCCCTTACACAAATCTAGAGTGTATCCATATCTGAAACATGGTGTGTGATTCAAGCTATAACATTTGGCAAATGATACAATACAACTGGACAAAGGAGAAGGGTATAACAGAATTGACTGGGGAGTTTCAATACCTTCCTCCTTTAGCTTGCCAAAAAGGCAACTGAAGAGAGACTTGATTGTTTCATATCCTGCATAGCACAGAGAATGTGAACAGGGAGAATTTTTTCTCCTTCTTTCAACACATTATGGCCAGAAGTCATCCACTGAAGCAAACTGGAAGAAGGCTTGAACAGACAAAAGGAAGAACTTCGCATTGTGCGTAATTAACCTACATCAGCCCGTCTTTTATGACGGTCAGTAACCGGAATTCCACCTAAAGAAGATAAAAATGAAAACTTAAAAAATAAAAGAAGATTAAAGATAGGCCACAACTAAATTATCAGTATGATTGGTTACAGTGGGTTTTACAAGCAATAAAACAAAATTTGGCCCCATTTTGATTGATCTTATTGGTTGGCTAACCACAACTCTACTTAAAGTAAGTCCAAATGACCAGGATGTTTAATTAATAAGGGGGAATATAAAGCGTAGCCATGCATTTTTATAAAATGGGCAGTGCAACAATAGATGGGTGTATTTTCAACTGCCCCTTCACCACAAGGGCAGAGTCTTGAAGAATAAGAACTTTCCTTCAAGGATAGCTGTTGGGTGTACATCAAAACCTGCTAGGATTGGTCATCTCCAAAATTTAGGGATGGATATTTGGTTTAAATATCTTGCTGGTCTAAAAAAGAGAGACTGGTTTCTAAAAAAAAAAAAAAAAAGATCTCTAGGGAGGGCCGACAAATTAACCCATGTAATTCTTTAGCACAAGAAGTTGGGTTGACCACTTAACTTGGATGGCCTTATGGGGGATTGGATAAGTTCATGGAGGACAGGTCTCCTCTTGAGGGTTATCAGTCTTGAAGACCCCATGTTACCTCTAAGTTGGGAGCAGAGCCCTTTGGAGAGCAGTTCCAGGGGACGATGGTGGGAAAGGGGTACTATTCTGCCTCCTGTTTGCAGGCATCTCAGAGTTGGCCATTGAGGGAAAGAAAATGGCCTTGCCCTGATCCAGCAGAGCGATTCTGATGCTCTTAAGCATAAACTAAATGAGGGGAAATCAAACATATAAATATTTTATGCATTTCACATATTCAAATGAAAGTCACTACACTTTGCTTTGACCTCTTCAAAAATAGTGTTATTGAATTTTTGAACCAATGTGATAGGTAAGAATATAGGGAATAACATTTAAGAATGAAGCTAACACATTTGACTTCTTCGGTTATCTCTGAAAAGGCTATATACCTAAAAAAGAATTAAAGGAAACAATACAGACTAGAAAGGAATGAAAAAGTGGGAGGGGAGGGCAGGTGGGCAGGAAACAGCTAATAATACAATGCAATTAAAGTGTTGAGATTTTTAAAAAATCTTCTGCTATTTTTTTTGCAATATCAAAGTAATAATATTTATGTGTTGTTCCAACTTAATGTTTAAACAACAAGTTAAACCTAGACCATATGGAGTTGTGTGTTGTCTGATTTGACCTCTCCACCAAAGCTTTTTCTGACCCGGTCCCTCCTAGTTTCTGGAGCAGGGCCCACAGCAAAGTCCCAGGGCCACCTTCAGACCAAGAAACCTTGAGAGTCCAGCCTATTTATCTTGTTTCGCTTAACTAATCAGCTGGCATATTTCTACAACATGGAATGTAAATCTCTTCTAGGGTAGCCCAAGTGTTACACAGTTCCGTCTGAATTATAAATAAAACTTTAAAATTATAAGGAAAGCTGGCGAGCAAAATGCCAGTCTCAAGCCTCATTCTTTGTGGGCATGTTGTTGCTAAGGAGTGCCACCAATCCTGCTGCCTCCTGGCTTCCCATCCATAATCCTTTTTAAAATAAATATCTTGATTAAAATTTTGAAAAGAAAAATAAAAACTAACAAGAGCTAATCATTAGAAGGAAGAGAGAAGGAAAAGGAAGGAAATAAGAAACGGACCAAGCTAAACGTGCAAAAAAGAAAGAAAAACAGAAAAAATTATAAAGACGTGGCTTCCGGTTTTCTTTTACAACAGTTATAAGTATAGATGTAAATTAACCTCTTATGCACCCATAATCTGGATCCCGCTTTCCTTTCCTTTAGCTTGTGCCAGCGGCACCTACGGAGACGGTTGCGCTCAGCAATGCCTCTGCCGCAACGGTGGCACGTGTGACCCTGTGCGTGGATCCTGCACTTGCCCAGTGGGCTTCCAAGGAATCTTCTGTGAAGAAGGTGAGGAATTTGGAGCTGGTCCAGAGTCTCCCCACAAAATCTGTCGCTCAGCATTAATATAATTGGACTTACGCTGATCTGTGAATGCAGAAGGTTCAAGTTACTGTGCATGGATGGTTAGGAGCGTTATGGATGTATCCTGTGCTTCCCACAGGGGTTTCAAGCAATTTCCCTTCTCTTTTCTGCCCCATCTCTTGGGCAGTAGGGACTGCTCTTAGAACTGAACAAAGATGCAAACTGTCTCTCCTTGATTGAAGCTTGCATCAAAATGCTTTGCCTATGGAAAGCTGGCCGTTGGGGGAGGAACGTTGTGCCCTTGTTCAGCTTCTGAAATGCTAGATTTATACACGCGAGGCCTGTACAAAAAAAACTGGAAGCCCTGAATGTAGAGATGCAGTCAAAAATAATGTCTTTTAACTTCTGAGGGGTACCAGTAATTATTTCCATGCCATTTTCGTTTGCTTTTTTATTTACGAGAATACGTTAAGGCATAAAAGCAAAGTGTGGCTCGATGGACTGTGGAATCAACAATGGTGGGTGCCATTTACTTGTGTCAGTTTCAACTCATTTCACGGCCAATTGGGACTCTTTGGGAAAAAGTGGGTGTGTACCTATATTTTGGCCACATCTGTAAGACACTCATCTATATTCTCAAGTGAGAAGTGTCGTTCTTGGGTTGTACCATTGTGGGATTTGACTCAATATTTGGCCCGTGAGACGCTGGATCACCTCCCCATTGTCTTCCTGGTGACTTGAGAAAAGAACTTCTGCTGTTCCGTTCCTCTGACTTCAACCCAGCCATACAATTCCTGGTTTTGCTTCAAAAGATGTGCAGGTCACATGTTTGCAAGTTGTAAGAAATAGAGGGTCAGAACTGCAAGCAGAAAGTAATCAGGATTGTAGGTTCTCTGGGGACAGGAGTTCAGAAGAGGCTCAGCATGCAAAGAAGCTTGTGTGCCTTTATGGTTCAGATGAACTCAATTTGTTCACATATTCCTTGTTTAAAAATGCGGATTGCCAGTGAAGGAGGGGAATTTTTTCATCCAGGGCAATAAGGTGGTTTCATCCCACTCCCCCAGGAATCTGGTCCATAATTTAAGAAAAATGTTCCTTTTTCTCACTTGCACAATCCTTTATCTCCTGTGCCCTTGCTGGAGATAATGGTGGAGCGGGGAGCAAAAAAGAGGACGCAGCCGTGTAGATACAAAAGCAAGAAAGATCTGGAGGTTGAAGTGGGTTTGGAATTCATGAGGGCTCACCTCCCAAGTATATGGATGGGATCTCAGGGTAGGCTGGCGCTGGGTGTGACTCCCAACTCCTCTGTCCTTGCTTCTTGCTGACCTGTTAGGTTATAACCTGTGTTTCTTCATGGTTTTGTAGCATGTCCTCTTGGACGATACGGATCAAACTGTCAGCAGATCTGTCAGTGCCCAGACCAGTGTTACTGTGATCGGAGGACGGGCAGTTGCAATATTTCTCTTGACTCAACCATCCTGGATGACTTAGCCAAAGGTACATGCTTTGGGGTCCTGGCTGTGGAGATATTCCTTGGAAAGGCTGTTTTTGACTATTTGAGGCTCCAGCTCAAATTGCTGGCCTCTCCAGATCAAAAGTGTCTTAGATAGCAAAGCCCAGAATGTAATTTTCTCTGCTTAGCATCTTGGAAGGCTCTTGCCAGTCAAGGACAGCAAAGCTGGTTAGATCCGATTGGATGACTTGTACATTAGGCAGTAAGTCATGGTTTCTTTTAACCAGAGGGCAGGAAGGATGGCCTGAGGCCACATGCAGCCTGTCAGCCTGTTGTGGCTCCACAGTTCTTCG